TAGACATACATTTTTCATAATATGAATTAATTAATTACATACATGTAAATAATAAACAATAACACTACAATTATTTATACACTATCCGTAATCAAAAAGCATTTATTAATGTAAACATCACACATGAATGAGAATTCCTCTCACACTTGTATTCTAACTGCTCATTTGCCATTTCGAAAGTGATGTATTCGGTTGCGGATAAGCAGGATATATACCCATAATAATTAGTGAGTAAATATTAACACATAATTAGTGAACTAAAATCAGTGTCAAAGGCAATCAGTTAGTAGTGAGTTGTAATCAATCAATGCCAATCAATAAGCAGTGAGTTGATATCAATGGAAATCAACAACCAGTGAGTTGATATCATGTTCATATTACTATGTGAGTTGATATCATGTAAATGAACACCGATCTCGTTATGCAGTTCAGTTTATAGTATAACCCACCTCTCTAATCCATTGAAACAACATGAGTCTACCTCGGCGAAACATCAAAGGATTTTCACAGTAATACCAAATGTCGTCTTCCCGGGAAGACACCGCGTAAAGATGCAGATAGGGGAAAATGGCGGTAAAATGCATGTTTAATCCCTTTTCTAGAATTCAGTGAGTAGAAAAATAGAAATAATATTTCATCAATTCCTTATACATCGAAGCATTCATAAAATGTATACTTTCTTTGTAACATATGTATCATGTTCCGCCATACATCTCTTTTAATTGGGTTGTTAGTGTAAACATATTTTATTTATTTAATTTTTTTTTTTTTTTTTTTAAACATATTTTTATTCATGAAGATGAATTGGCATTGGTGAACAAGCATTACTGCTTATATTAACACCGCTCCCATGCAACATATAATACAACATGAAAATGGAGGATTTGACGTCATCGATACTGACCATTGCATAAATATAATATTTTTAAAATGTATAAATATATACTGATCACATGAAATACAACTATTCTCTGAGTACTCATAAGTTAGAGAGTTACAGTTGTGTGTGTCTCACGAGCCATTGTAGAAATATAAATCAATCATGAGAAGGTTGTTGAGTAAATGTAATTATTTTCCTTAGAAAATTTAAAGCGTTGTGTCTTGGTTATATAATCGTGGACGGATTCAACTATTTTCTGGTTTACATAGGGAGTAAGTTCTTTGTTTCCCTTAAGAATGGTGTCCAGGTTATAACCGGTAGTGTAAAAATACATGTTAAGTCTTATCCGAGTATATATAGTTACGGCAAGTGAGGAAATAGTGTAGGGCGTTTTCACTATGATGTCCACAAGAACAACAAGGGCTGTCTATTAATGTCTGTTATACTTATACATCCGGCTTATACATCCGAGCCTGAAGCGGCAGTGAACGATTTGGCAAAAACGAGTGCCATAATTAAGGTCAAAGTAAATCTTAATGTCGCTCATGAAATACACTTCGACATATTACAAGACGCATTTCCCTCCAAACTTGTCAAACACATGCTTCATCAATCTCTCAGTGTTGACCAATTAGAGATGTTATTTGATGCTGACCAGCAGTAGAGGCGATTACTGGTTGGAGACAATGGACACGGGGAATAGTGGTCAACAACATCCTGCGCCTTCCCCACGTGATTGTTAACATACGCGGGTGTGTATAAATAAATTATAACATAGGTCAACATCAATAGTAAATGGTTAATCTTCAGTTAGCCCAATACCTCGAAAACATGCCTCTCTACAAAAACACTGCAAGTCGGGATTCCACCAACTGAAGACGTATTTCACAGGTTGGATACCGTAGCATGCATTGCATTCACGTCAGTGAATGAGCGATGAGCGATGAGCTTATCGTTTCAGATGAATCACCAAGCTCTCTCGTTATCTGTGTTCGGTTTCTTTGTTTGGCTTCTTGGTTTCACCGTGGCTTCAAGTCGTTACTACCGAGCACATATGTCGTCGTCGATGAACGTCAAATTCAACGTGACGCCGTTATTGACGTTCACGTCGACGTCCCTCCTGGCGTGCACACAGGCCTGTACGCGTACATCAGCGTGCCACTCCTTCAATACGGGACCCGGAGGGAGATGTGAGCTTCTTGGTTCCTTACTGTGTGACGGACGTGGGGATTTGGTACCGGAAGTGGGCTTTCGCTATTATGACATTGACCCTGACCTTGGGGATGAAGTAAGTACTTTCATTTTAGGAGTTATAAGGAATTACGATTTGAATTTATTTTTACAAATCCCTCACACGCAAAACATATATTGTCATTGGTTTAAAGAAGGTGATCCTCAACTGATTAGAATTGGTCATTGGAAACCCATTGTGGTGAAGAGCGGCGGTGACGGGTTAGAGCGTATCTTCGAACGCCTTGGATCGTCCAATAACTATCAAACACTGGATTATCCTACTGGGCACAGCGTGGTATAAACGTTATGTGTATTTTCACTGAACTCTAAACTGGGACAGACTGACATAGTAAAGTACGTGTACAGGCCGTTTAGCACAGGCCTGAATTGTAGCTACATGCATAATCGAACAGAGGACGTCATTCAGCAAAGGTGGCGCTGTACACTGCTGCAATTTCGCACGTAGTTGAATCATGTACGTACGACAGAAGCGATTTAACGAAAACTGCATTTGATTTGGTAAGTCAGCTCACCCTGATGTCTCCACGAACAGGTTTTATAACAGTCCAAATGCAAAGAGTGAGTGAGTTTGGTTTTACGCCGCTTTTAGCAATATTCCAGCAATATCACCGCGGGGGACACCAAAAATGAGCTTCACACACTGTACCCATGTGGGGAATCGAATCCGGGTCTTCGTTGTGACGAGCGAACGCTTTAACCACTAGTCTACCCCACCGCCCCAAAATGCAAAGACACGCTGTCATACAGGACATCGTTGACATCGTCCAACGTAAGTGTGACTACAGACGGTCCGATAAGACAAGTTAGCGAATTAACGTTGCAGGATTTTAAGCACATTTCTTCGGCTTTTGGGGCTGTAAATCCTATCAATGTTCTCTGTAATCCATTACCTTCAAAAACGTATCCCTTAATGGTTTCACCGACAGTGTGTGAGTATGATTTTACGCCTCTTTCAGCAAATAGTCCAGCTGTCCCACAGCAGGCAAGGTCTTCACACATTGTGCCCATGTAGGGAGTCGAGAACGTGAATGTGAATTTTGAATAAGGACATACGGTTCGACCAGATGACAGAAACCGATGACGTTTTCGAGGGTATTGTCATCTTATTTTATTTTATGTGGTCGCTGAAACATATGAAGGATTGAGTCTAAAGTCCCTGGTGACAGCATATATTACACGGTATTAAAGCAATCAGTTGTCAGCTTATTGGTGGACAATAACCAACACTATGGAATGCGACGTTTTGGCTGTTAGTATTTGTCGCATTTTGACGGTTATTTTGACGTGCTATGTATGCTTGGTTTTGTAAGGGTGACAACGCCACAATGCGACAACGCGACAGTGCGAAAATGTCCTTCCTAGGATTCCATACAACACTGTCACAGAAAGTTTGGTTGATGTTTAACGCCGCACTCAGCAGTATTCAAACTATATGGCGACGGTTTGTATTTGTCGAGTCTGAACCAGACAATCCAGTGATCAACATCATGAGCATCGATCTACACAATTGGGATACAATGACATATGTCAACCAAGTCAGTGAGCCTGACCACCGAATCCCGTTAGTCACCTCTTACGACAAGCATGGTTTACTGAAGCCCAGTTTTAAGCATCATGTAAGTGTCTGAACTTTTAATCACTGGATTGTCAGGTCAAAACTCGAATATTTACAGCTGTAAGTTTGACAACTGCTGACATAGACAGGAATGAAGCAACATATTTGTACCGTCGACCATGGTCATCGGATCTTGGTAAGATCAATAGAGCAAAACCTTAGATGATTGGCCGTCCACACCTTCCATCTAATAAATGACCAATGTCCAGTGACAAGATGCTTTAATGACGGCACAATCGGGTTCGCCTGAAATTAATTAGAAAGGTTATGGTCCATTTTGAATATTTATTGTTTATATGATCACGTCTCTATCCTCTACGATAGTTTGACATATTTTCGATGGATAAACTTCCAAATATGTATATTAATTTGAAACTGCTTTCTCTGTAGCTCAACACTGCACCTCCTTCAGCACCAACTTCACCGTCATCCGCGGCTACGCCCTCACCGACTACAACAATGACGTATATATGTCCGGATACACTTTCAGCCAGTGCAGACTCGCCTGTATCAGCGCCGCCTATCTCTGTCGCAGTTTTGAATTCGGTCCATCTTCAGGGTCCTGCTTCCTGAGTTCGAACTCCTGCTCCGACATGAAGAACGTGTTCTGCGGTACCAATGCCCAGTTTGACTACTACAGCCGCGACTGCAACTAGATCCTGACCTAGCAGCATCGGCGGCGGCGAGGTAGCCCAGTGGTTAAATCTTCACTTCTTACGAAATCGGACTGGGTTCTATTCCCGTATAGACAATCCAGCAAGATGGTGCACTGTACCTTCACCATCATTCCTTCATCCAATCACATATTTATCCCCCATAAAATTATTACTTTCTAAATGAGGCAATATTGTTGGAACTACCTTTTGTACATTCATTGTTCATTAAAACTTTGCATCCTGTTCCCCCAAAAATAGTAAAGAGGGTTCCGGATGGGTTAGAGCATATCTAAACATGGCTGCAGATCATTCTGTACTACATTATCAGCAAGGTGGTTCAGTCAAGCCATAGTATACTTCCGTGATATCTAAAGTTAAGTCAGTAAATACAAAGAAACTGTCAAACTGATAATGCCAGAGACATATTGAGTTTTTATTTCTAATGTAATTTCGCTCATATTATATTAAAGAAGTTGTATATCCATAGAACTCACCTCGTTGTTCATTTCTAATGCATACGACAGCACATCCGGTCAGTTATCTATGTTTATTGAGGCTCTAACGGAATGGGAAGTGACGGAGGATGGACAACAAATACCAATACACCTTTAATTATGTAAAACATGTAACATGCTAGAAAACATTTTTTCCCCTGCTTTTAACTATTCTGGATATATAAATATTATATTCTCTCCTAAATACATACATGTTCTACACAAAGAACCTCATACAGCCCATGTTAGGTGGCGACTAACGGGATCGGGCTTGCTGACTCGGTTGGCATACGTCATCGTATCCCAATTGCAAATGTCGATGCTCATGATGTTAATCATAAGATTGTCAAGACTCCTTACAGACCGAAGCAATATATTGAACTGACTAGGACGTCACAAATAAACAAACTACACAAAGGACGGCTACTTAACACGTGCAACCATTGAAAACCCGGGTTACAATATTGGTCTTCAACAACCAATGCTTGTCATAAGAGGCGACTAACGGGATCGGTGGTCAGGCTCACTGACGTCGTTGACATATGTCATCGTTTCCCAGTTGCGTAGATCGATGCTCATGGTGTCAATCACTGGATTGCCTGCACCAGATTCAATTATTTACAGACTGCCGCCATACAGCTGGAATATCGTAGAGTGCGGCGTTAAACAACAAACAAAAACCTTTAAACTCATACACTATGGATAAGATTATTATCTCGCTTCATGGTCTAACTCATTCTCTTTCCACAGAGGTTACTTGTCATATCTCCCTCGTAGGAATGTATGACAAGTAACCTCTGTGGGAAGAGAATGGGTCTAACTTCCAATCAGTGTTTCCGGGAGATAGTAACAGAAAAGATGATGTCAAATAATTAAAAAAATATTACTTTTATTTCAACAAGAGTCATTCAAATTAATCCAGACATTTATCAATAATTGTATACGGATGATGTCATTTTAAAGCGTCCATTTGATAACTGCACTAACAGTGTCCCCAAATCAAAATGTTATCCATGTTGAACATATTTGTGCGCCGTTACATAAAGACGCTATGTCGACGCTGGAAAAATCGGTCTTGATTATTTCCCAGTAGGATCTTGAAATAATATAAATGGATTCCTTGTGATAAAACCAGGTGTCAATGAAAAGGGGAATCTTTTCCTAGTCACACATTCAGCAGGGCCATACCTGCATACATGTGTATTTACCCATTCAGCAGGAACATACCTGTATATATATGCATATTTACCCATCAGCAGGAACATACATCTATATATGTATATTTACCCATTTAACAGGAACATACATCTATATATGTATATTTACCCATTCAGCAGGAACATACCTGTACATATATGCATATTTACCCATCAGCAGGAACACACGTGTATATATGTATATTTACCCATTCAACAGGAACATACATGCATTTATTACCTACGAGAGCGAAAATATCGGGGTTCATATTTTTCATACGATGCCCAAGGGCAAAATATCACTTTGCCATGGTGACGTGACGTCAGGAACAATGCTATGACGTCACGTTTCTTCTGTGACGTTGCGTTCTACATGCGGCGACGGCGGGTAGCCAGCCTATGTTTGAAAGTAGATTTGGGTTTATTTTCCTCAATTTGACGACTTCGTTAATAAACAGAATATTATATTCGTGCCAATATCACACTATGTTTACGACACGCGTGCCTAATTATCGGTATATCAACATTTAGCCACTCGTGTCGTAAACATAGTATGACATGTGCACTCATATAATATTCTCTATATATGAATATTTACCCATTCAGCAGATACATACATGTATATTTACCCATTCAGCGGGAACATACATGTATATTTACCCATTCAGCAGGAACATACATGTATATTTACCCATTCAGCAGGAACATACATGCATATATGTATATTTACCCATTCAGCAGGAACATACATGCATATTTACCCATTCAGCAGGAACATACCTGCATATATATATATATATATATATATATACCCATTCAGCAGAAACATACCTGCATATATGTATATTTACCAAGCTGAATAATGAAATTTTCTCCGAATGGTTTGGATATAGGGGAAATTGTCACTGTTACTAAACGTTATATTTGAAAGTCAAAACTAATAAATGTTGAATTTTTTTATCAATATGTATATAAATATGTTTCAATGATTCTACAAAATTAATTGTCTCAAGTATTGCACGAAGTCTCTAGATTAAAAACGACTATTAAAAAAAAAATTACATGTTTTATAACACCAGCCTCGCTATAATGAAGCGATTACTTTACATTTTCGGTGGTATTGTATCTACATATTTGATTTACAACATGTCATATTCATCAAAAAGCAAAGAGAGAGTTTAGTTGATCATGTGGCGCTATATGGAGGGGGCGCCACGGTGTAAACGGGGGCCGGGTTCTGCACTCCGTACTGGGGGTTGAGGGCCATGTTGTTCTGTACTACCGTCTGACCGCCGTACATAACGGGGGAACGCTGAAAACAAATAATGTGGTATGGGGTTATCAGTGAACGGGCGCGTTTGAAAAAATATGTCAATGAATTCATGTGTTGAAGACCATCCTCATGGTGTGAGGTTATTAGTAAATAAGTGCGTTTGAAAAAAATGTTTCTACCCGTGAAGATCCGGGTTAGAACTGTCGTAATTAAGAGGCGTTTAACGGGATCGGGTGGTCAGACTCGCTGACTTGGTTGACACATGTCAAAGTATCCAAATTGTGTAGATCGATACTCATGTTGTTGATCACTGGATTGTCTGGTCAAGACTCGATGTCATCGTATCCAGACTCCGTTTGCTAATGATGCCAATCACTGGACTACCCTGTTCAGTCCCGTTTAATTACAGACAGCTAATTAACTGGTGCTGTATGTTTTCAGCGAGTGAGTGCGTTTAGTTTCACGCCGCACTCAGCAATATTCCAGCTATATGATGGCTGTCTGTAAATAATCGAGTCTGAACCAGAAAATCCAGTGATCAACAGCATGACTATCGATCAAAGCAATAGGGATACGATGATATGTGCGAGCGTGTCTGACCACCCGATCCCCTTAGTCGGAGATCAATTCTGAGCCGAGTTCTCACGCGTGTCAACCTGGGGGTAGGCAAAGGTAGAAAATGTCCCAGACGTTTTTCACTTTGATGACGTCCATGTTGCTGATCACAAGGATCAGAAGCACGATTGGGATCATAATAGGAGAAACCAGAAAACGCTGAAGGGTAGTGAATGAGTGAGTGAGTAAGCGGGGTTTTTTCCCACTTCCCAGCTTGTGTGAGATAATTCCGATGTGATGCTGATCTCAGATGTGATCACTTTGATAAAGTCCACGAGGGCTATGGTACTGGCAAACCAAGAAACACACATGTAATTATAGCGAATATGGTATTTGAACCCACGGTCATAAGTTCCTGGCACGCACAAGGGAGGTAACTAGCATTATACGTATGGGCCACCCGTCTGTAGTGTAAGACGTAGTACTTTGAATTGATGGAGGAGCAGGATGTACAATTACGGAAAACAAAGCCGTTCTTTAAAAACAAATGATCAAACTACATTCAAAACCATTCAAAAAAACAATGCAGTAAAACTACGTTTATAACAGACTCAAGTGGACCACCAATTTTAGTTCGTTAAAACCCTAGTTCGTTTTACCGTTTGATTAAAATATACAGCAAGAGGCGTGACCAAACAATTTGTTTTATCCGTCATTTCGTTATAAACGTGTTCGGTATAACTGTAGTTTACTGCACTTCGTTTAGTATCACTGATAACGCTCTAGTCAGGACTCGAAGTGTCTTACCCAAAACACAGTCCCGTATGTTCTTCGTCTATAGACTGCAAAAGAAATGCCGAAGAATATGAGGACGGTACAGGTGACGGCGATAGCAACACCGGCAATGCTTCCTGCTCCCCAGGTACAGGCGGAGGTTTCATCGGAGTCGTCGGTGCAGTCGTCGTAGCCGTCACAAGTGACGGTGCTGTCCACACATCGGCCGTTATCACAATCATATTCGCCATATTCGTCACAGACACCTGCAGAAGAGCATAACTCTGGTATTGAAGTACTTGTTTTGTTTCAAATTGTTTGTTCCTTGTTTAACGCCGCACGGGTGCGGCGTAAAACATAACTCACTCACTCACTACTGTTAGAAAGGTCTGCTTCGTATTTGTTGCTAGGTGTACCACTCAAATATATGCCTGCATTACGACATTGGAAATACTATGGTAAGTTATCGAACTAGGGTCAGACAAACCAGTGATAGATATTGTCAGCCAAGAGATGATGACACGATGACAGCTAGGTCACAAACCAGACCACCAGGCCCATTTAGTCGCCTTCCAGAGACAAAGGGTGGTGGGGACCCATCACCATATAGCTACAAAATCAATTTATGAGTCGATTTATTGAGTGCGTGGGTCATGGACTGACTTTGTGAAATTTGGCGTCATCTTGTCACAATGGTATGGTCGATGCTGATACTTTCGTACATACTGCTGCAACATTTCTCCTAGTGCATACAACTGCAACAATGAATAACTGCATCGTATGGTCCACATTCGAATGTTTGGAACAACCATACATCTGTAATTTTAAGAACGCAGCGTTAAACGACACAACATCTAACCCTGAGTACCCGTGAAGGTCCGGGTTAGAATGTACCTTCAGCAACCCATGCTTGTCGTAAAAGGCGACTAACGGGATCGGGTGGTCAGGCTCGCTGGCTTGGTTGACACATGTCATGGGTCCCAAATTGTGCAGATCGATGCTCATGCTTTTGATCACTGGGTTTTCTGGTCCAGACTCGATTATTTACAGACCAACGCCACATAGCTGGAATATTGCTGAGTGCGACGTAAAACTAAACTCACTCACTCATTCTAACCCTGAGCGCCATTGCGGTTTAATAGCGTCGGTTTTAACATGGACCTTTGACGGACGGACGTTATATTTGACAGGCGAACTCACCATTGGCAAACTGCGACACCAAGATCCGGAATGACCCGGTCTGCCCCGACTGGAGACGTTTGAGTCTGACCACTACACTGTCGCCACTGCTTGTCCAGGGCTGATCAAACGGCGTCGTGTAGCCACACACACCCGACTGACCTGAAACACACACACACGTGCCTCCTCATGTTATAACATATCAGGATAGATAGGTTTCAGACACGTATACAACCAGGAACAACCTTTCATTCCGAGACATAGGATTCTAATTATACTATTAATCTGCCTGAATACACTGCGGAGAACGTCTTATTTGTTGAATAACTGTAGGTCAGAAATCATTTTTTACGAATGCGATGTAGTAAGAGACTAAGGCAAAATAATATACTGAGGAAACGTGAAATCGAACCGTGAAAACGCCTTGGTTTTGCGCAAAGACACCAAGACATGATGATGGCAAACACAGAAATATCCCAATGCCTAAAGGGGTTGGTGGGGTAGCCTAGTGGTTAAATCGTTCGCTCATCACGCCGAAGACCGGGGTTCGATTCCCAAATTGGGTACAATGTGTAAAGCCAATGTCTGGTGTCCCCTGCCGTGATATTGCTGATACTCACTCACTCACTCACTCACTCACCTAGTGCCGAAATGATCATTATGTTAATGTCAACCCATCGACAAGGCATTACCAGAAGTGGAAACGTTTCGGTGCAAAATGTGTGACATCAGTACTGCAAAAATGGCATATCATCGACCGCCGTCATATAGCAGGAATATTGCTGATTGCGGCGATACACAGCGTACAAACAAACAAAGACGCCACGAGTCACTTAAGGGGAGGTTGGATAGCCTAGTGGTGAAAGCGTTCGCTCATCCCGCCGAAGACCTGGGTTCGATTGCCCACGAAATGTGAAGCCCATTTCTGGTGTCCCCGCCGTGATATTGCTGAAATATTGCTAAAAGCGGCGTAAAACTACACTCAGTCATTCACGAGTCACTTACTGCTCAGGAAGGTGCCAGATGGATCCTTGACATCCACACGACTGCGGGAGCAGTCGCCCAAAAGACCGTCAGGAAGGGCGATGTCGAGGAACTGCACAGAGAGGTAGGCGTTGGTGTGGTAGAAGCTGCTTGCCGTGAGCGTAACTGAGCATGTATCGTCGTTAGGCCAGGAGTAACTCTTTAGCTTCAGGATCACGGAATCGAAGACAGTGATTGTACTGCCACAGTAGAAGTTGATGTTGTCTGGTGAAAAACACATGGAGAATCACGGAGTTGTTTACAACGTTTGATGTCATCGGTTCCCTTTTGCGCAGATCGATGCTCATGCTGTTGATCACTGGATTGTCTGGTCCAGACTCGATTATTTACAGACCGCCGCCATATAGCTGGGATATTGCTGAGTGCGGCGTAAAACTAAACTAAACTCACTCACTCACTCACTCAATTATAACGTTATATTGATGTATAATTTTTATTTAATCTCTATGATCACAATTATGTATTTATTTATGATAATGATATGATAACTACCCTGAACCGGCCACCACCGTTTCATGAAGGAAGCGACATCACCATATTCGCATAGAATTCATGTAGACTAACGCTTACTCTCTCAATATACATAATTTTGATAGCAACAAACAATTTCTTATGAATTGAAAAGGGGCCCCAGTGAGATGGGAGATTCCGAACCTGAACCTGGGGAAATCTAGACTTACTACATTCAGAGTTTTGCAGAAAGGGAAAAAGATGCGGTTCGGGGACTGTGAGACAGACTAAGGATTCATGTCGTTTATTATCATTCTTCTTCATTTGATCTGTGGTGATGTTCACCCAAATCCCGGAACATTACGAAATGCTGATCTTAAAATAATAAGTAACATTTAAACGTACGGAGTCTTAGAGATAAGTTAGACATACTCCAGGCTGAACTGGAATCATATGATGTCATTTGTATTACAGAATCATGGTTGCACCATGGTATAGACACATTGATATAAACATTCCAGGTTTCCATTTACTCTTTAAGAAAAGACAGTCAGAGTAGGGGTGGAGGTATAGAAGTATATATTAAAACTACTTGTCTTTCGAATGTATGAATGATTTAGACTTGCCTGAGCTTGAAGCAATATGGGTTAAAATAAGATGTTAGAAACGAAATTATTCAATTGGGACATTTTATAGGGCAAATAAAAGCGACGCCTATTGGAATTTAATAGAAGAATCTGTTGGTAACGCTGTTGATCTTGGCTTGATTATAATTGTGACTGGTGATTTTAATGAAGATATTCTAACCACAGATTCGAGCAGAGTTGATCAAATCAAATTGATAAATGGATTATCTCAAATCATAACCGATCCTACCTCTAGTACTTTGATTGATCTTATCTTTGTTTCACATGTTGCTACTGTACTAGAATCCGGTGTACTTGATCCTATATGTAGTGATCACTGTCCTGTGTATGTTACTTTGAAGGAAAAAATAACTAAAACAGTTACATATAAAAGAACAATCTATGACTTTACTTCAACCTACATCGAAGCCCTTACTGATAAACTCTTTTGATTGGAATACAATACTTTCCTCTCGTGATGTAAATCAAGTAGTAGATCAATTAACCAATATCATAATTAATCTACTAGTATGTAACAAACACGTGCCTAACAAAATTATCACTATCAGGCCAAAAGATGTGCCATGGATGAACAATGAAACCCGGAGTTTGATCCGAAAACGTATACGCTGACACAAGATTGCTAAACGGTGCAACTTACCTTCCGATTGGACAAAATTCAGATTATACAGAAATACAGCTGTATCATCCGTCAGAACGGCAAAACAATTATGTACAGACAAAACTGATAATTTAATTAATGACATTGTCAAGCATAGAACTAAAGTCTGGTGGCGTCTGATTACAAATTCTACAAAAGGCAAAAATTCACCAAGCTCCTTTCCTCCAGTATTTAAATAATGATCAACGTTATGACGCTTGCATTGAAATTGCAAATATAATGAATGAATATTTCACAAATCAAACAAAAGTTAGTTATCCAGACTGGAACGTTGAAGAAGTTGTTTCGTATACTGAGAATTCTTTATGTGATGTTTATCTGAACCCAAGCGAAGTCTATGATATTCTTTCTTCTGTAGGTACTACAAAAGCAACAGGCCCAGGCGAAATTAGCAATGTTTCTGAAAATGAACACTCGATTTTTGGCTGTTTCTCTATCAGATGTCTTTGACCAATCCCTTTCTGAAAATACCTTTCCTCAAGTTTGGAAGGATGCCTCTGTTGTCCCTATTCACAAAAAAGGTAGTATTAATGACTGTTCCAATTATGGACCCGTTGTTCTCTGGCAAATTCTTTTTTGAAAAGTGCGTTTTCAAACAGTCTTCAATTATTTCAGAGATAACGACATAGTTTCTAATCTCCAATGAATCCGGATTCAAACCAGGAGATTCTACTGGTAATCAAGTACGTATCTATATGATTTCATTGCCGGTGCAGTAGATAAGGGAAAAGAAATTAGAGCAGTATTTTGTGATGTAAGCAAAGCATTCCACAGGGTTTGGCACAAGGGTATCATTTATAAGTTAAAAAGATATCGTATATATTAAAATGGTTTGAGAGTTATCTTGAAATTAGAGAACAACGCGTCGTTATTAGTGGATTTAGATCTGATAATGCTGTTTTTGCCGGTGTACCCCAGGGTTCAGTTTTGGGGCCGGTCTTGTTTATTGTTTATATAAATGATATAGTTGAAGGCATAAATAGTAATATACGCCTTTTTGCGGATGATACTACTTTATATGCGATCATTGATGATCCCCAGGTAAGTGCTATTGTAATGAACGATGATTTACAGCGAATTGCCGAATGTGCTGGAAAATGGCAAGTATCTTTTAATCCCAATAAGACAGAGTCAATACGCTTTACTCGTAAATTGCAACCAACTCCAATGCCGAACCTAGCCATGAATGGTAATGTTATTAATTCCTTTTAAAGCCATAAACATTTAGGTATTATACTTCAGCATGATTGCTCATGGAATGAACACATTAACGACTGTGCTAAAAAAAAGTGTCTAAGAAGTCTCAAATATCATATAAACCGAAAAGCATTAGAAACCATGTACAAACAGTTCATATTACCAGTTTTTTTATTATTGCAGTCATATATGGGATAATTGTTTTAAACAGCAAGCAGATATACTTGAAAAGCTCAATCTTGATGCTCAAAGAACCGTGTGTGGTGCTGTTCGTGGTACCAGCCATCATAAAATATACAAAGAAACTAATTGTCACCCGTTGTGTCGTAGAAGATACTTTCATAAAATGACCATGTTTTACAAAATGGTCAATAACACTACGCCAAGTTATCTTAGTAACCTTGTTCCGCCTAGAGTATCAGATGCCGTTGGTTATACTCTGCGCGATGATTCAAATCTTCAGACTATAAACTGTAAATCTGTAAATTATGCGAGGTCCTTTCTTCCAGATACTGTAAAAATTATGGAATTCATTAGAGAATCGCCGTGCCTATCGAGATTCAAAAATGTAATTCTAAACGATTCTAATATCTACATTCATTTTGACTTGAACTTCGGTTGCAGATTTTGTCAAATCATACATTCTCGTCTCCGACTTGAATGTAGTGACCTTAATGCGCACAAATATGAAAGATGTATATCTCCAATATCATCTTGCTCTTGTGGCCATAACTATGAATACTCTGCTCATTATTTCTTTTCATGTACGCTTTACAACCATATACGTCACATTATGTATTTTTACACAAATGGGTTTGACCAAAAACAATTTTGTTTGGAAAACAAAAGTGTTCCTCAATAGTGAACAAAGAACTTTTAATTTTAAATTATAATTTAAAATTATGTAGGATTCATCTGAAACCTGTAAGAACAACACATACACTAGACGCCAAAAGAAACGTTACCTTCCTACCTTTATGAATTACTTAAAAACTATCAAAGATATGTTAGAAGGTTTTAGTTTACAAGAAAGCTTAACAACACAGCTTTATGCAAATCACGAAAACAAAATTCTCAAATGCATTCATATTTAGGTGAATGCATCTTTTTCAGAAGAGTTAAATTGTCCTATATTCGTCCCTGCCGAAATAAACCAATAATAGTGATTTTGATGTCCAAAAGAAAGGTTGAAATAAAATTCTACTTTGGGACAAAGATAAACCATTTAAAGTCACCATTTTCCAACTTCTATAACAAAACTGTTGTAGATTGTGTAAAATTGTAAAATAATCATTCCTATGATTTCAGTGTTTTAAAACATTTTCTGCTGATTTGCATTAGTGAAAACAAGTAAAACGTGTCTTTGATATTGTGAAAAAAATGTTTAGGAACATCTAAATTGATCTTTGTTAATATTTTTGCTTGCAAAGTAACACTTTTCCTTTTTCTGTTTACACATAGCAATATCAATCGCCAAAACGCAGCAATATTCAAGCAGATTCTATAGGGTATAAAGAGAGCCTAGAATACATCATCTGATACACACGTACCAGAAATATGCCACGATTAACAGCTGAAGGAGAGAAAGAGCCATTTGGATGGTGCAGATGGGGTCGACATACAATGATGTTGCCAACGCCCTCGGATGCCACCGTATCACGGTTATAAGACTTATTTAGGGCTTCAGACGGACTGGGGTCACCGTAGACAAACCAAGAAGTGGACGTCCACGCATCAAAACGCCAGCTGAAGATAGGTACCTCCGTCATTAAGGAAGGAGGGTAACGTTTCTTTTGGCGTTTAGTGTATACACAAAGAATTTAATTAAGCACCCCTGTCTTTTTGCAATGATAGGTTTTCAACAGGTACATAAAACTTCTCGTGGTGTTTTTCTGACCCGTATGATCCTTTGACTCATAAAAAAGCGACAAAATGATTGGAATCCATGTTGATTTTATGATGATAATTGCTCATTTGAAAAAAACCCACTAATTTGCGTACAAAACCATGTCTATATACGTATGACCCTGGAATGTTTTATGTTGAATTTATTGGTGAATGTGAACATTCAAAATGTCATTTTGCGTGTCTTAAACGGTTCAAAGTCAATACCGAGTGTAACCTCCACGTGACTGTATGACGGCCAGCACTCTCCTCCTCATACCCACGCATCAGCCTCCTGATCCTCTGAAGGGGAAATCTACGCCACCCGTGTAAAGCAGCTTCCAACTGGGCCAGGTTCTGTCCAGGAGGATCCCTTTGTTGCACACGACGACCAGTCATGTCCCTGATATGCTCAAAAGGGTTAAGATCGGGGTTAATTCAATCGTGAGATATGCCAGGGGGTGCTTAACTAAGATCTTTGTGTATAGAAAGGATTCTAGGTGATTAATTGTAGTTATTGGTCATCTGGTCATTTGAACGCATTTCACGATACCGCAAACGGCAAAGATTGAATTGGATTGAAATAACATGGCGATAACGTGTATAATATAAATGTGTATATAATTTCAGCTTTATACCAAAACATGTACATCAATGAGAAAATGGTATTTTCCAGGACTACATACAGGTATAATTATTATTTGCACAAGACAATGCAATATGATTAAGAACATAATACATTTAAGACTAAAAGAATATCTAAGGACAACTGTGGAATATCATAGCACCAGTGACACTCATTGACAGTGTAGTAGAGGATAATCAGCATATATAGTAGCACCAATCCGCGGATTATTTCCAACTTACCCGAGGCAAACAAAACAAGGATTATTCGCATTTTACGACAGAATACCACAACACACGTTTGCCTTGTATTGTATGTAGATTGAATCAGATCAGCTGACAGGAGAGATATGACCAGTTTAACCTATAAATAAGGGCTGTGCTGTTGCTATCTGCTAAACTATTTGTAGTTGCTAAGAAAACGTACTAAACTGAAGGAAGACATTTTTACTAAAAATAAAATACTTTTAAAAAAAACACCCAAAATAATTAAAAACGTAAAAATAGCATAGATATTACGATATTGCACCTTTATGTGAAAATGATGTTTTTTACATTGAATGGCGCAATTTTGTAACAAGAGTTAATACTCAAACCTCCTTGTAATTATTTTTACACTCAGAGTACACTTTTTACTTTAAGTTTGCAACGCTGAGTCCGTGCGCCGAAGCTGTTCCTTTGTGTAGCCCGTGAAGATCCGGGTTAGAATTGGTCTTCAGCAACCCATGATTGTTGTAAGAGGCAACTAACAGTATCGGGTGGTCAAACTCGCTGACTCTGTTAACACATGTCATCGTATCCCAATTATGTAGATCGATGCATATGCTGTTAATCACTGGATTGTCTGGTCCAGACTCGATATTTACAGACCGCCGTCATGTAAATGGAATATTGCTGAGTGCGGCGTAAAACTATACTCACTCACTACTTCGTGAAATAATCGCCATTATTTTAATCATTGATAGTTGTGTTGAAAACAGTTTAACTGTTGCTCAGTGACCACCTCTTGCGCAATGTTACCACTCCACATTTTCCGGGGTTTTTTTTGTGTGTGTAATATGCATAATTGGTATTTGCTGCCTTTTGACGATAATTAACAATGATGTCATATCCATGCTTTACATGTATAGTTTGTTGACTTCTTTTAGAATAGATAGCTAAAGCTATGAGAGAAAAACGTGATTGCTTCTTAATTAAAATAATACAACACACATGTACATAACACACACACACACACATACACACACACATGGGTCGACATAAATAATGGTGTCGCTCAGTCGCGATATCACTCTTTCGCCATTTCATGTCGTGTGTTCCGAGTCGCTTTATCGCCTTTTCATGTCGTGTTATCACTATGTTGATACTGTTACTCCGTGTTTGATTGCATCGCAATGTTGTTACATGGTGTCGCCAGGCCGTGTCCTGCTATCTCTTTGTCGCCATATCACCTGGACTCTGGCGGTATGGCGATGGCCCCAATCAGCCCCATGCATAATGGAAGTAACGACAATATACTCGGAGCAACGAGCAAATACTCCGAAATTTCAAGTTTTTGAAATATCATAACGATTTGAATTGTCTAGTAGTCAATTGTTTAATGTATAGTTTTTGGCCATACATAGAGAGAGAGATGAGTTGTAACTGACTTCCTTATCTGACATGTGGACGTGTCAGTGAATGCTGTCACATAGCTACGTTTACTTATCAGTACACGGATACTCAATTTACATAATCATATACATATATAGTTACAAGTTAAGTCATTAAATGGAGTCCTTAACATCTCGGAGATGGCGGATTGACGTCACAAAAAAATTGATATTTTGAGAATAAAGGCTTGGCCGGTCCTTGTGACGTTGTCATCTGTCATTAAGGATTGTTGATTGACGCCCCTGTAGAGAATCTCAGCTTCATTATAGGTTAGATAAGTAAAGTCAAAGTGAATTTATTCATGTCCATCTGTATATGTAAATATGTATATGTATACGGCTATATGCTCGTAGTTGTACTCAGGGCGAGGGGTGGCCGGCCGGAGCAGCAGACCCTCGCGGGACAAGGAACCCTCTCTGTCATCGACTCGGGACGCTCTCTCTGGTCCCCCTGTCTCGGGCCCTCAGTCACGCCCTTTGTCGACGCCTACCTGTGCCCGCTAAATGAAGACTCTACCTTAAGACTCATGTCCAAATTGTCGATCCTGATACCCCAAAAGTAAATAATACATTCCCCACTCTCTGCGCGGCTAATACTGTCAAGATGGATTATGTAGGACGTTGTGGTTTAAAGATCATAGGTTATTTCTCTACGAAGTAGTCGTGCTTGTACCGTGGTAGCCAAGTCTTACCTGTACTAGGGTATCCAAACACTGTCACCGTAGCCTGTAGAAGTAAACACAAGCTGAGAAGAGACGCCATTTTGATCCTGTGCCTCTTATCTCACTAAAGATATGCGGTGCAGAGTGACGAGGTAGTATGATAGGGTCTCGAATTACAGCTATATATCAGGAGTCACTTCATCACGTTACTCCGTTGTCAGATGACGTCATTCCAGTCTCTCTATTGTCAACTGTTAAAAAGATAGATTAACAATCGCCACTATAACATACTCATTAGATTACTGATTCAGCAAACTTTGATTTCGGAAGAAGCGATTAACGGATTAGGGTGATTAGGCTCTCTGGTTTGGTTGATAATGTCATCCCAATTTCAATATGATATCTATAAGTGGACGGTCTTGTCGAGACTGCATTATTTGCAGGAAGTCGTTATATACTTTCAATATTCTTTCAATATTCCGTTTAACAACAAAAATGCTGTGTGAAAAAATGTTTTGAGGTATTGATCGCGTGCAAAATGCAAGAGGTACACCGTGACGACAAAGCATTATTAGCCTAAAATATCTGCTGAAACACACAGTTACATAGTCTGTCTCAGTCCCTGAACCATATCATTTTCCCCACTACATAGTCCTCCCTACAATGCTAAAGTCCTAAATTAAGCAAGACTGGGACTCCTTTTCAATTTAAGTGGGTTTGTGTTACTATCAAAATTATGATATTCAGAGACTCAACGTTAGTTTATCAGCAGCACGTGAAATACAAATACTGATGAATATGTGGTGTGGTGGGCGAACTAAGACTAGTGATCCAACGAACTTGAGGTGACGGGATCGAGCCCACCTGTGACCGGGTGTAAAAACCATGGAGTCAACTTTGTGTGCAGACTCTTTATGGTGTTGTCACAACCTCTAGTGTACTGTACACAACCCTGTGCACTTAAAAGAACCCACGAATCCGTTGGTATATGACCAGATGGTGGCCACATGAATACGTGCAAACACCTGCTTGCGGGTACAACAACTTGGATAAGTACTGTGACTGTGTGTGCCAGTCCACCCAGCTGTGAATGGGTACCTCGTCAGGATGAGAAAGCCGCAATAACTCAGTGCGCCTTGTGGCAGCAAGAGATGTATGATCCCCAGGGAGTTGAGATTGATAATAAGATGTACCTTTGGGATTGACATCCAGTGATCGAGGAAAAAAATACCAGTGCCTTGAGCATGTACTAGTGCGTGGATATGTGCGCTATATAAATATTCAATAATAATAATAATAATATTTTATGAACTAATCACAGAAAACTGTGGCAACATCAGTGTTCGCGAGGGAAATTTCCACCGTACCAGTAACACCTGCCGCTCACTAACTCGTATTAAATACCTAACGTTGAAATACCGTAGGGGTAACGATTTATGTTCGTTTTTGAAAATAATTGTTGCTGAAAATTTTAAAATATTAAAGAAAATTATGCTGCTGACTGACAGAGTAGTGTATATCCTGAAATGTGTTAATCAGGCTCATTGTTTCAAAGTGTCCCGGGATATCGACCATTTCGGGCGTGCCATGAACCCAGCAACTAAACCGTCGATTTTAGAGCCAGGGACGTGGAGCACTGGCAACATTGCAATAGTGTAGTGTTTGCAACTTGGAAGCCACAATCAAAACATTTTTCAAAATGTTTACGTGTTTTGTTTTAAACAATACCAAAACACTAGGTATGTACTTTCTGTTGTACGTCAGTTAAGTTGAGCATATACACGTGCTAATGATATAGGTGAGGTGAAATGGGGTTTAACGTCGTATTCAAGAATATTTTACTCTAATTACGACGTGCATGCGTTTGTATGTGTGGTTGCTTGTACTAGCCCAGACGTAAGCTGGTTTTATACTGCTAGCTCACTGAATACCCAGCTCAGACACATTATACTGACTCCGAGCCGACCAGGCCTCGTTGTACCCATTAATGCGGAGCGCCATACAGGGACCTCGTCTTTTGGTATGACGCGGTCAGGGATCCCTGATTGTCCTGATTATGGAAGGGTTTTCCTGAAGTGTACCGCTGTTACCCCACTGGCATGTTGCCGAGTGTGGCGTAAAACAACCAACCAACCAGAAGTGAAGTTAAAAACTCCAACACCGGGTCTCCCACAGTAACAGACGTGGCGACGGATGTAGCCATGGTGACAAACATCAGTATTCATTGTATGTCTTTATTTCACGTTATTTTCAACAAAAAACAGTACATAAGGTCCGCTTCAATGTCTAACAAGCACTATCTGGGGGTTCAGCTCCGTCACTGCTGATAGTGGAACGGGTAGGGATACCCTGGGTACAGACTGGGAGGGTACATCATCGGTACGTGGGGTGCTGGGTACTGATACATGGGCTGGTGCATCATGGGAGGCATGTAGCCGTATCCTGGAGCAGACGACAACATGGCCGCCATGTTTTGCTGCTGGAGAGGGTAGTTCACCATCTTGGTGTCGGATGCTCTCTTGTTGCGTGATCGCCTGTTCTGAAACCACACCTGTGAAGCAAAACAATAATAATTTGGTAACTCAAAGAAACAGTATTAGCACCACTAGTAAATTGATTCTGGCTGTTTGACATCACATAAGGAAACGCATAAGGAGAAATGTTTTCAATCAGATAGCATGGGACTTCTCTCAAACAAAAAGCTCAATTAGGAGGAATGTTTTCACAGTCACATCACTTGACATCTTACTCCAACAGAAGACTGAATGAGAAGAAATAAACATTCATCATTACACACTTCTAAGGTATGCTGGCATAGTGTACGTATTGTACGTAACAAGGTACGTAATCAAAATACAAAAGAATGTTTACCTTTAATCTCTTTACTGGAATATTAAGCTCCTGGGACAAATCTTCATACAACTCTACATCCGGGTATTTGTTCTCCAGAAACACCTGCTTCAACCGCCTCGCTTGCTTCCCGTTGTAGTTCTTCCTCGGATTCGCGGAGACACAGTCTTCCTCCAGTGTCTTTGGTGAGGACCTCTCTGACACAATTTCTTCTTCTTCGGTAATGGAGGATGTTTCCACAGAGACATGATCTTCTTCCTGACCTTTTGGGGAACCACGATCATCCTGAGTTCCTGTAGAGGTTCGCCCTGAGAGGGAGGAACTGTCGGGGCTGTGGGTCGGGCTGGAGTTGCTGTAGAAACCACTGGAAGCTGTACTTCCGTTTGGACTGGCGCTTTCGACATCAATGAGGTCATCTGCTGATAAAAGGTATGGTTTGTCTTTAGAAACTCAACAACATATTAACAACATAAAAAGCAGCGAGTGATGTTTTACGCCGCTTTTAACAATATCCCAGCAATATCACGGTGGGCTACACAAGAATTGGGCTTCACGTACCGTGTCCACCGTATCCATGTAGGGTCTCCAGCATTACGGCCGAACGCTAAGCTACCCCACCGCCTTAAAAGCAGTGGTGTGAATACTAGGATAATATTATTTATTCGTAGTAGTAAATGATATACTGTCTCCTGGTGTATAGCATACATGAATGAATCGACCAATTCATCAGTTAATACATAAATAATAACAGTAAATTGAGAACATAATTTCTTGGACAGAATATTAGTATGTTACAGGTTCTTGATCCCTGTATGTGTAATACAGCAATCTTACCATAAGCATCGCTTAATGATGGAAGCGTGCTCGTCTTCAGAATCCGGACATCCAGTTGTTCTATGTGTGATGGAGACAGGCTAACCGGTAGGCTGATGGTTGGGGGCGTGTCTGTACAGGTCTGGAGACTGAGGGGTAACTCAGGGTAGGACTGGAGGTGGTGAAGACCAATTTCAGGAATTTCACATCTTTCGATTTTGTTTTGAAGGTAACATCTGTAAGGGTGACTGAGCTTTCCATCAACTTCGGATGTCTGCGGAGACTCGGGTATCTGACAACGAAGAAGTTCAAGTTTGAGGCCTCCGAATCCTTCGGGATTGGTCGTTGCTATGAAGCCCTCACATGCTGCTTCTGGTTTGGTTAATGAAGTCCTGTCTGTGATGCTGGGCTCTGAGGTCTGTACGTCATCTGACTTCATGATGTCCTCGATGGAGAATGGAACACGGCGTCTGGGAGGCGCTCTCTGGGCCTCTGAGGACAACGTATTTGTGGGACCTTGGAACACACGTCTAGATGGAGTCGGGACAGCCTCGGGCACAACCTGAAACGTAATAACGAAGGCAGATGCAATATTCATAGGCGTACGGGTATGCTACAAAGTCAATGCCAGATAATAACCAGTCTCGATTATCCGACTAAATACTTTCCATTGGGCGTAAAAGGTGAGCATGTCCTGACTCACAGGAAGCAGTTACAATGTCAGTAGTCAGCCTTGTACACAATCAACCATCACCACATTTTTAGATTTTACGCTAACAGAATGCCTCAACTTACACGGATGGAATGTGCTCTCTACTTACTATGGGCAGATAGATATATGAAGTGGAAAGGTAAAAGGTATAATACAAGAAATTGCATTAGTAACCATAGTCTACAGACATGTGTTATATTAAACATCAACATTTTCAAAAGGAACAATTTTCGGTGAAAGGTGTTGAGACATAACTGACTATGGGCAGATAGATATATGAAGTGAAAAGGTATAATACAAGAAATTGCATGAGTAACGATAGTCTAGGAAGTCTACAGACATGTGTTATATTAAACATAAAATTTTTCAAAAGAAACAATTTTCAGTGAAAGGTGTCACAGGTTGAGACATAACATACTTGAATAACACTCACATACAGGCACAAAATGAAATTCATCTTCAGTAAGATTTTCTGCATTATATATGAAATGTGTTGGACGGGACATGCAAATAGGTGTTAGTGAATTCTGACGCAACATGTTTCTGTATAACACATCATGACATGTTAATTCAATGTAAACCATTCACTGTTCTTTACATTAACACTTATGAGCACGGGATTTACTTATGGGGCTGTATAGTTGAACTGTATAGCTATGGCTTACAACATATTCATGTGTGTACCTGTGAAGAATCCATTTGGGTTGAGCTGTATTCAGTACATGTATATTCAAAATGCTTCAGGACAGGCAGGAGGTGTTATAAAGACCATGGAGAACTATCCTACCATT